ACACACACACACACACACACACTCACACACACACGCACGGGCTAGTGCGTTTTTAATTAACCTGAAAATGTGGCTCGGAGGTTGATATTACGCTTAGGGTTGCAAACTGCCGCTATACAACACTCACTTAGGCCAGTCTGTTTTAATGTTATCGGTCCACATTCTTTATTGCCCACCCTTATCCATTTTGCCCCACATCTTGCCTTCGAGTACCTCTTTTATAATGGCCTGGTCGTGTTTGTTTTTTTGGCAAATTTTAAGGTACTGCAGGGTTGTTGTTTTTTAACTTTTCATTTGTTAATCAGGGTTTGTTATGTGTGGAAATGCTAACAGACCTCATTGCTTGTCTTTTAAAAAATTATTTCCAGCTAACTCTGGCCACCTGCAGAGTAGCACCACGTATCAAATGTATATATTTTGATTTCTTCTCTCTCAGGCGAGGTGTCAGCAGCAACATATAAGGAAGATGAGGAAGATGTTGCACTCCACCAATGTCTTCTTAGGTGTATAATAAAGTTTGTGCATTAGGCTGACTTCCTGTCGAACTCTTGTACGTTCTACAAACAAGTTTCTTAATATTGTCGTGCATCTTTCCCTGGTTGCTTGACTTGATTTGCCTAGTGGTTAGGCTACCGGACTCGTAATCGTGAGGTTGCGGGGTCGGGGGTTCAAGCCGCGGGCCCAACGTTGTGTTCTTGGGAAAGAAACTTTACACGAATTTCCTCACTTCACCCAGGTGGGAATGGGTACCCGGTCATAGACAGCAAAAGATCTTGTCAGTTGGTCTTTTTTGTGTTTTAGGGCCTATAAATGGCTACCTCTAACGTTGTCTCATTTAACGCCAATATTTTCATTGCAGGTTCTCCCACTGCTTTGTTTGTGAGAACTCCATACTTGATGTCACCTTTCACATGGTAAACTATTTTTCCTATCTTTTATATTTTTTAACTTCCACCAGTCGATGTGTATGATTGTACTGTTTTGTTTCCTTTTTTGTTTTCTTTGTTTTCTTAAAAACCTTTAAAAATTCTTCATTTTCCCGGTAATTTTTGCGATGAAAGAATTTTTGTCAGAGCTTAATGTTAACGCTTGTGTATGTTATTTACATTAATTCTGTTTCTTACCTTTTTATCATAATGTATTCAAATTGATGTCTGTCAAACTCTCCAGGGCTTTTCCAAATAAATTGCTTTTTGTGGTAGTCAGAAATAGGTGTTTGCTGTCATTAAGATCTTCCTCTCATAAAGAAGGGTTTTTTTTCTTTTTTTCTTTTTTTTGCTCTGTTCTCCTAGCCCATAGTTACCAGCGATGTCTTGGTATTGTTCCTTATCCGCTTTAGCATCCAAGCCTGCCATTATAACAAATATAGTCGAACCTGCTCAAACGGCCATCTGTATAAAACACTCACATGTACAAAGTGCAACTTCCCGTGTCCTCCCTTGAGTACTTTTTATTTTTACATTATAATGTAACTGTGTAAAACGCCCATCTGACTAATACACCACTTTTCCCTTAGACAATTTTATTTCTTTCCAAACACACACAGTTATACAACAACAACAACAACAACAACAACAACAACAACAACAGCAGCAGCAACAACAACAACAGCAACAACAACAACAACAACAACACGTCACTAACTATTGTAGACTCAACATCAATGACGACAAGAGAAAAAACTGCGCACATTCTTCCTCCACATACCCAAAAATAAGTATTTCTGAAACCTCTCCTCAATCGTCTCTTCTGCAAAAACGTCAAACGGAGAGTCGTCAGCCTTTGGATCGATGACCAGAGCGTCGAAATCTTTGCCAACAGTGAAGTTTCCCACCACGCCCTCCAGACCCATCACTGAAAGGGAAACAATCCTGATCATGAACAAAATTTTTCATTAACCAATACTGTAATTAATTCCCTTGAAAATATACAATGTGCAAAATAAGCTATTTTCATTGCGTGTATTTCATGATTTTATTTTTGGATTTGATGGGGCTTTTTTCGGGGGGCGGAAGGG